ATTAAACACACATTGTAAGCGATCATTTGGTGAGCAATTCTTTTAAAGTTTAAAAAAGATAAGTTAAAAAACATTTATAATATTTCTATATCCTAATTGCAGCGCCATCTCCCTTAATAAGATTATCAGAGAAAGTTTAGGATAAATCACTCCCGCTTTATCTTGAAAAAATTAACTGTCATTTTGGTTTCAAAATCTAAATAAACCGGGAATATTCTTATTTAACCATACAGGGGATGGCTATTCGGGATATATATCGAAACGCCGATCGAAATTTCGGGCACTTCTAACTGACAGATTTGTTTCAAAGTTGGCAAGTGGGTCAAGACATAAAGACAATACAATCTGACTTTAAATTTAACTTAATGGATGCCTAATTAATTTTTATGAATTAATTAAATTATGTCCAAATTAGAAGGCTGCTTTACCCAACTATTCCGCACCATTATACGCGCGTTTCACGCTGTGGAGTCATGAAACTCTATTCTTTTTAAAAACAATTAAAGTACTGAAATAAAATCATAACAATTTAATAACAAGCTTTTATGTAATAATGCACTATAACTATAAAGAAAAGCGTGGGTATCTTCCTAAATATTAGCTAAGGTATCCAATCTAATATACAAAGTTCAATTCTGTATGTGGCGGGCGGACCGTGGATTCCAAAGTCGAAAGTGTTCATCGTTTAAATTCATACGTTTAAAAATTAATATTGAAGGTTTTGTAAAACAATTTTCATTTTTTCAAACTTATGGTAATAATTGTTGGCATGTCCATTAAACAAATTTTTTTTCGGTCGTACCAAACATGATGAACGTTGTCTTTTACGTAACTTTTTTTAAGCAGATGTTTTTTAACAGTATATTTAGCAATGCAAAGTTTTACTAACAAAGAAACAATTTCTTTTTAAAGCTGTGTTTTATAGCTTCAAAGTTTTCATCAGATCACATTGCAATGTTACCAGGCAAATTTCTAAGCTTGTTGTGTCCTGTAAACTTATATTTATATGATATAGATCTAGAGATCTAGATCTAGTAAGTAGTTTTTGCATTTAAGGTATGCTTTAACAAAATTAAGGCGTACAGCTCTAATCTAATATAAAAATTTAAGGTATGCTTTAACAAAATTAAGGCGTACAGCTCTAATCTAATATATAAATTTAAGGTATGCTTTAACAAAATTAGGGCGTACAGCTCTAATCTAATATATAAATTTAAGGTATGCTTTAACAAAATTAAGGCGTACAGCTCTAATCTAATATATAAATTTAAGGTATGCTTTAACAAAATTAAGGCGTACAGCTCTAATCTAATATAAAAATTTAAGGTATGCTTTAACAAAATTAAGGCGTACAGCTCTAATCTAATATAAAAATTTAGTGACGGCTATTATGGGCAGATAATATAGTTTGAAACGATTTTAAACTTAGGGGAGGTAACTAAGAGGAGTTTGCTTTCACGGGGGGGGGGGGGGGTAGGGGGTTGGGGAAAGGAGGGGTGGGGGGGGGGTTATCGTCCTTAACGAACTACTGATTGTGTTTTAAAGCAAATATTTTCAGTGGCAGCATTGGTACTGTCGAATTCACAAATTATGAATTACTGAAAAGAAGAAAATAAAACAACTAAATAGCGGCGTACAATACGCCGCGGGTCGGCTCGTTATTAAATATTTAAAGAAAATGGTGCCCTGTCAAAACGGCCCGGGACAAATCGGCCCCGTCAATTTGACCCCGTCAAATCGACCCCCGACTAAACGACCCAGTCAAAATAGCCCCGTCAAACAGGCCCCGACTTATTGGCTCCCGTCAAATGGGCTCCCATCATATTGACTCACGAAATGTAGGCTCCCGACAAATGGGCTTCCGACATTTAGGCTCACGACAAATGGGATAACGACATATTGGCTACCGACAAATGGGCTCCCGGCATATTGGCTTCTGACAAAATGACTCAGGACATATTGACCCCAGATAAATAATCGTATAACCACTATTGGCATAAAATTAATTATTTTGTCCTACCTCCACTACCACTATAACCTCTTTTAAATGCCTGGATGAAATTGTTTTTCATGAACCAACAGCTATTCACAAACACGTCGAGCCCTTAACAGCTAAATTCCACCAATTCTAATGTCTTGATAATGTTTAATTTACATCAGTAAAGATCTGTTGCTTAAAGTCGAGCACAGAAGTGTAAATGTATAATATACAGGATGTTCACAGGATAACGGCATTTTGTTTTGATAACCTACAAGCATACTGCATACCTCTCCCTACACACTGAGTTGAAACAGCCTATAATCGGCTCATTTATGGAAGTCATAGATACTATTTCTTTTTTAATAGATAAACTATTATAAAAATACGACCTTCCGGACAAGAGATGTATTAAGAGTGTTGGGTGAGCTAACTCTAAATAATATTGATGAAGGGGTCCCACTGGCAGGTGTTATATTCAATGAGACCGTTATGCCAGGAGACTTAGTCTCTACAGAAACCGAATTATCAGTGGTCATTTAGTCGAGAGCCAAATTGACAGGGGCCTATTTATCGTGAGCCAAAATGATGGAATCCTATTTGCCGGAGGGCGTAATGACGGGTGCCGTTTTGTCGAGAAGCTAAATGACGGGAGCCTATATGTCGGGAGCCTATTTGTCGGGAGCCTTATTGAACGGAGCCCTTTTGTCGAGAGCCTATATAACGGGAGCATATTTGTCGGTAGCATAAATGACGGGACCCCATTTGTAGGGAGCCTATATGACGGATCCACATGTCGCTGGCACTTTAGACGGGGTCAATTTGACGGGGCCGATTTGTTATTGGCCGTTTTGACACCGCACGAAAGAAAAATAATTTATTTTCTACTTTTTGCGCATTATTACATAAAAGCTCGTTTTTTATGACATTTTTTTTAGTTTCTCGTATACAAAGTAGGCCACTATAGAGAAAGTATTATAATCGTGCAAAAAAATCTAGATTTTTGTGAATCTCGAAGTTTTACACCTCCCTTAGTCGGAAAAACATAGTTTGCAATCTTGTCTGTATGTCGGTGTGTGTGAGTGTAAACACGATAACTTGAGTACCGTTAGAGCTAGGTTGATGAAACTTCATAAATAAGAATTATATCGAATTTGTAGATCTGTATCAACTTTTCAGCGATTTTCGATAACCGAAAGTGGAACTTTTTCTACTTTCAATTTTTCAAAAGCCTATAACTTGAGTACTATTTAAGACAGATAAATAAAATTTCACACATAAGTAAAAGTACTAATACTCTGCCTTCTTTCAAATTTTGAGTAATTTCAGTTTACCGGAAGTAGTAATTTACGCTATTTCCGATTTCTCAAAAAATGAATGTGAATTTATAAAGTACTATTAATATTCCTCACTATAATACACACTTTTGCTTGGCGTTCACTTGGTGTGCAGTTCTTTTTTCTACGAGATTCTATTCTATTTTAAAAGTTTAAGAAATTAAAAATGGATTTAAAATATTGTCTATGTCCCGAGTTGCCATCCCGCGTAGTGTTATATAAGAATATTCGAGAATGATTACTGGAGATCGCTCCCGGTTTATTTATCCATGTTAACGATAATGATGGAAAGATTCTCGTCAACTTGGTCATGTCCATTCAGTATCTATTTTTCGATTTGTAAAATCTGTCAGTCGAGTTTACAAGATAGTAACTCTTTCTTGACTGATTTTCTGACAAATAAATGTACACTTCACCACAATGACCAGACCATATGTAAACCACAATGACCAGACCGAATGTAGACCATAATGACCGAATGTAGACCACAATGACCAGATCATATGTAAACCACAATGACCGAATGTAGACCGCACCTGTTCCACAACGAAGATTTTGAAATGGATGAGTTGCCTTTTGAGCGTGGGTATCAGATAGTGTAGCAGAACTTTGAGGTGGTTCCAGCGGTCCCTGTAGGGGATGATGACGGCCACACGATGTCTCGAGATGCAAGAGTCAGGCTTCCACTCACCTCCTGTCCTCACGTCCTTGTGCTCTCTGATGATGTCGTTGATGTCCACAGTTATATTCAAGTTCACATCAGTCGAGTTGCCAACTGGTGATACAAAAAGACAATTCACAACTTTCGATATAAAAACTCATGAACCTAAAACTTGTTGCTATAAAATATAAGGCTTTTATAAATGGTCTAATTTGAAGATGTAACACCAACAAACGACTTTAAAATTAGCAAAAATATTAAGACAAAGGCAAAGATTTTTCTGGAAATCTATAATATAACGCTGGTGTAGTGTGTCAGTCCGTCATCGCTATAGATTTTGGAACCATAAAAGTAAACACACTACATGTCGTGATGTTTACTTGCATCGCAGTATCATATTATATATAAAAGGTAGGGTTTATTTATGTAACTTACATTTTTTTGTATAGTTAGCACTGTTTTTACGCTTTCGCATAACGTAAATAAAATATTAAATACACGCACAATGCTAAAACATATTAAACGGATCAATGTCAAATTATAATTTCGCTTAGATTAATAGAAAAATTGGATACATTTTAATAACAGTAGGGTAAAACAACTAATTAAATAAAATCTTTTATAATTTTGCCAAGGGGGTATTTAATAATAAAAAAATGTGAATGCAAATTCTGCGGACGTGCAAAAGGACATTATTATTAGAATATTTATCATTAGCATGGATTGATAAAACGCACGAGGTAGGTAAAATACAGATATTTTAAATTATGTCTTTTGTTTTTTGTTAATAATAATTAGGGGTATTATAGTCGTTTAGTAAGTTGAATCAGGTGGTTCCGCCGGTGCCCCGGCCGGGTGCGATTTAGCGCCCCGGACAAGACTGTTACCACTATGTGTTTATGTTTTAAGTTGTATTTATGTTATGCGTTTACGTTTTCATTTTTGTTTTTTTGCGTTTTCATTTTTTTTTGTATTGTGTTTGTTGTCTTTTGTGTTTGCGTGTTGCGTTTGTGTTTTTGTTTAAATTTTTTGCGTTTGCATTGGGTTTGTGTTGTGTTTGTTTTCTTTTGTATTGTGTTTGTGTTGTGTTTGTGTTTTCTTTTGTGTTGTGTTTAGTTTTTTTCTGTTCCAAAGTTGGTACATTTAAAAAAGATTCACCGTGGCGGAGTTCGGGTATGCAGCTTGTCAATCAATAACAAGCGTATTGTAAGTAATCAATTTCTATAGAGGTGGGCTGATTATGGAGCTCTTTAAGATGCTCTAGAGTCATGGTTTACCAACAGTCTTATGCGTAAGAACAGGAAAATACTTAAGACAGTCCCAATGATGTGTATGTGATGGCGTATGGCCAGTTGTGTATGTAGACTATTGAGGGAGGAGGTAGTAATATTGAAACTTGGACAAAAATACCTGAATCATGCGATTTGATCACAGGAGTTGATTCTAAGGGCTGTATCATTTCAATTTTTAATTATATTTTCTTTTATCAATAGTCTTTATTGGCATATTTTCTTTTAACAATAGTTCTTGTTGATATAATTATATTTTCTTTCATCAATTAGTTAAATTATAGGTCAAATTAGCATCTAATACATTCAAGCGAATTAGGTTTAAATGTTGGTGCTATTTCAGATCAGACTGGTAGCAAAATAGATTGAATCTATTTCTTTGACTTTTGCACATATAGGGATGGCGAGGTCAGTACTTTGACCACACTTTTCGCTGGCCACAACTCGAGGGGACTGATGTGTAACACCCCACCACTTGAACCAGGAGACGGCACTCGATCATTCCGTGATAAGTGTCACACATCGGACCAAATGTCCACTGTATTACTGGTATGAATTGTGTATAATAAAGTAGCTGATTAGATCGTAATGGGGGATTTCAATCATGTATTTATTGGGACAAAGGAAAGAAATCATCCCGTATGACTTGAGCTAAAAGTGCTCTGTTCGGCCAATCGATTATCTGATGTATAGTTTGGTTTGTACTAAATAGATCTGATACACTCAAGTCCTGTTTCAGCTCAACGTCTCTCCAAGTAACACTTCAACAATAAGATTAGATAGATATAATTTGGTTACAGGAGTTTTAGTTTATTCTAATCAAATGCTGGTTCATGTAACACGTTAATTCGAATTTTAAAAACTTTGACTTTATCCAGGTAAAGTAATAAAAATGTATAATCCGGTGTTAATCCAGCCTCCCCCGTCTCTATTTCAAACGATTTCCTTCAGGATTTCTTTGTCTCCCGCTATTCCTCTTTCCCCGTGGACACCAGCAGCAGTGAATTGTTTACTGTCTTCTGGTATTGTACCCTAACCACCATTTTATCAATGATTTCATTCTCTACTGTCTGTAGCCTAGCTCCATGCCATACAGTAAAAGAGGCTTCACATTCAGCTATTGATCCGTATTGAATTTTTTTGACAAAGCATTTGAATTTCCCATTGGCATAGAATATTAAGGGGGTAGGCTCCGGAAAAAACGGGGGAAAAAAGGTTATAATTAGTAAAGCTTTTTAAAAATTTATTTGTGTATGTATAAGTTAGGGTACTTAACGGAAAACATGTGCATGTACCAGGGACAATACTGAAAATATAGTTGCCACGGCAACAGCGGCCATATTGGAATAAACTACCTTTTGTGGAGTTCTAAAATTTCATAAAGTAACATATAAACCGCACATATAATCATTAATCCTTCTTGTACTAACACCAATAGAGTCTGTTTGCTAGTTTTTGTAACCGAAAAATTTAGCATTAATTTCAATGTAATTTCACCATGCCAAATTTTGAAAATTAAAAAAAAATAATTCTAGAGTGTTTTCTGTTACAAAAACTAGCTTGCTGACTATTAGTGTTAGTAGAACAAGTATCACTGGTTATATATAATTCTAATCAGAACGTCATAAATTAGGCGGTAATGTCAGTGTCTTTATACATTTATAGTCTTAAAAAGTCTATGTAATCATACTAAATTTTTGAAAAATTCTTTTTCAAAATATGGCAAGCGATAAAATAAGAGTTACAAGTTACATTTGAAAAATTAAAGCCGTTTGATCGATGGTTCCCAAACGGCTTTAATTTTTGTATGAGTGGTTTAAAAGCCATTTAGAATTATTTATCAATGCACATATTTTAAACAAGTTAATTAAAAAAGTCTAGTGACATTTATGCGCAATTTCCTTATGTTATCTAAAAATAGCTCTGACGTATAATGTTGGGGTGCGTTCAAGCTAGAAGAACGATCGGTTTGTAGGTGTTTATGTAATTTTAAAATTTGTGACCGAACGAGAGGATATTTTTGAAAACTTTCTTCGGCAATATTGTTCTAAATTATGACAGGAATTGATTGGTACATGTTTCAAGTCGCTAAGTGGTCTGGTTGCCAAGATATGGGCCAAAAACTGATTTTTTTCGAGGTTTTTTGGCTTTTCCGGGAAATACATGAAAGAAACCCGGAATTTTTATGGCCTATGCTCATTCTCGTAACTTGCTTAACATAATTGCTTTTGGAACTAGTCATCGATATTGCTTCGTTGAGGAGGAGATACGACTTAAAGCCCGGACACACATTCATCCATACATTCATCCATCCATTCCCAGAAATGACGAGTTAATAAACGCAATTCTCCAGAATGGAAATTGCGCTAAAAACTGCCCTCAACCTCTTATTGAAATGAACTGGAATGGCCAGAGAGAGTAAAATAATTAAAAGTCAGAACAATTATTTCCCATGATAAAAATACACGATAATGATCGGTGGTGTATAGCTTAGTATTGTATTTATATTAAATAATATAACATTCCCAATCACCACAACACCATGACTCAACTAATCCAAATTAAAAATAAAGGTGTTTGTTAAATTACTAATACATTACTAGTATTAATTTGTTTGACTATTTCTAGCCTTAATGAAACGCAAGTCTTTATGTACTTATTTTACAAAAATTCAATTTTGGTTGAAAAATATACTTTCTGCCAACAAAAATTTGGAACCAGCTTTTCATGTCATTTTATCGAGTATCGTTGACGTCATTATTATTGTTTATTTTTTTCGGCATTGGCTTTATAATTCTGTTTACTCTAGTATCAAAAACATCATTTTAGTTAATAAGATAAAAAGGAATGACGTAGGTTAAAACAAGAACATTAGGCACATACTAGTTAATAAGATAAAACTGAGTGATGTAGGTTAAAACAAGAACATTAGGCACATACTAGTTAATAAGATAAAACTGAGTGATGTAGGTTAAAACAAGAGCATTAGGCACATACTAGTTAATAAGATAAAACTGAGTGATGTAGGTTAAAACAAGAACATTAGGCACACACTAGTTAATAAGATCTGAGTGATGTAGGTTAAAACAAGAACATTAGGCACATACTTGTTAATATGATCTGAGTGATGTAGGTTAAAACAAGAACATTAGGCACATACTAGTTAATAAGATAAAACTGAGTCTTTTCTTCTTCTTCTTCTTCTTCGTTCTTAATTATTAGTGTTGAAGGTGATCGAGTGGGTTTGAACTCGAGACTTTGTTCAAATGTATCAACCATGACCTTTTTTGACGACTCGACCACGCCTCCAACACAATTAAGCGTTACGTGTCAACTGGTTATGCGCCATTGAGGCCACTGACTCCGATTTCAGCCTGCTTTTCTTTTTGGATTAGCTTCCATAGCCTTTGTCCAACCAAGAACAAACTACAAGGCAGCAGTTGTTTAATTTTGGAGTTGTCTCTCCTAGAAGAGTGGCTGTCCCCAGCTAACGAGCCTCATCTGCCCGAGGGTTCGAACTCGATACTTTTCAGTTTAGCAACCATGAGCTTTACCGACTCGACCACGCCGACCCCTAAAACTGAGTGATGTAGGTTAAAACAAGAACATTAGGCACACACTAGTTAATAAGATAAAACTGAGTGATGTAGGTTAAAACAAGAACATTAGGCACATACTAGTTAATAAGATCTGAGTGATGTAGGTTAAAACAAGAACATTAGGCATATACTTGTTAATATGATCTGAGTGATGTAGGTTAAAACAAGAACATTAGGCACACACTAGTTAATAAGATAAAACTGAGTGATGTAGGTTAAAACAAGA